CTTCCAGCTGGGCTTGAAAAAAGTTGGGAGCTGCTGAGGGCAAACCCAAACTTGTGTATGCTTTGCAGTAGTGGGGGTGTGTGAAGCTTTGTATCCCCACTGCAGTATTCTGTGGGATGTCTCACTGAGGTGAAAACCCCTGAATTCACTTGGGATGTGATTCACTTAGTGTAAGGCCTCATTCTCCTGCTGTAACAGAAGAGGGTTTGGTTGGTGGTGGCCTCCCAGTTCATGGGAAGCAGAAGCTGGAACTCCCAGAGATCCATCTATTCCAGAGCTCACACACTGCCTGTAAATAACAAAAGGCCATTGAGTGACAAGCTTTTTCCATTCCTGCAATCAGCTTGTCTTGATCATTGTCCTTAAATGTTTTGTCTATCAAAAGCTTCAGATAAGTCTGGTATCTGAAACTCCCCCTGGACTGTTGCAGGTGACCCTTGGGGGCTGGGAGGGGACAAGCCCAGGGCACAGTGGGCCAGGGACAGCCCTGGAGCATTTCGACCCCCTGAATGCTGGATTTAGTTGTCTGATGTTTAGCTTTCTAGTCTGAGTGGGCACAGAAGAAAGCTAATTATGTTTGGCCCTGTCATGCAAAGCAGGTCAGTGGCTGAGCCAGAAATAGCAGACACAGTTTGCCTTTAATGCAAACTCTATTTGCATTTCCCACTGAATGTCCATTTCCTGAGCGAGTTGCTCATGTGAGTTACTGGTGACAGTGTGGACTCTTTTTCTCATCCGGGCTGAAATTTTGTTTCAAATTGAAAGTTGGTATAGTTGAGAAATATTCTGTTCTGAATCACTCAACCTGTTTAGCCAGAAAATTGAGACTCATAATAGGATTTCTTCTGAGGAAAATCTGAGTGGTGCAGGTACGGGAAAAGTGAGGATTTCCCTCCATGGGCTGTAGGTACAGAAGGTCCTTGTGTTTTGTTCCCTTTAACCACCTGTAGTCATACATCTGGAGGTGAAACACCTGCGGGTTATTGAAGGTTTGTATCCAGCAAAAAGGCTTGAGGTGATAAACTAGATCACCACAGCTGGAGTGAGTGGGAGCCGTTTCCATACGGGGGATAAAATGAGGCTGATACTGGGAGTCGTTGGATTGAGGCCACCTTATCTCTCTCTGACCTGGAGATAGTGGTGTATATGATACCCCGATAACACTTGGGGGTTCTGAAGTTGTTATCAATGAAGGCAAACCTGATAGACCCTATGACTTGATGAGGGGAGGGTTGCTATGACTTCTTGGAGTGTGGAAACCTAGAGAGGTAATGGCTGCATATACCTAAGGTGCTCCCTGGATTTAAGATGCAACTTTGTTTTCTGGGGTCCTGGCTGCTAGTTTTGTGGTGTTTCAGGCCGAAGTGCTTCTAGCAGCTTTTTTAGCAATAACATAATTGGATTTGAAATTAAATGAAATAAACTGTTCCTGTTTTCTAGGAGTTGAATGATCTGGCACGTGATCCTCCAGCACAGTGTTCAGCAGGGCCTGTTGGTGATGACAGTAAGTATCTACTGTTGGCAAACACTGGCAGTCTCCAACTATTTTCCTTCTAACACAGGATGCCCAGTTCCTCAGCAAGACCCTTTCTGTTACTTTGACTCCACATCCTTATCTTATATTTGCTGCCCTTCTGTATCCCCTAATACCTTGTGTATCACTGGAGATCTCCGTCACGCTCGTTGTGTTGATTGGGTGCCGTGCGCTGAAGACACTTAAAGTTACACCTTTCAGAGTAACCCTTGCAATGTTCTCATGGGACATGCCTTCTGCAGAAGGCAGTAACTTCAGTAGCCCTGTGGCCAAATGGGCAAGCAGCTTCAGAGAGCTTTCTGGACTTCCTTCTTACCTGAATTATACGTAGTGTCCTGTAGAAGTCAATCACTCTGCTCCTACCCATAGATGGGGGTACGGCAAGGACAGGGTTAACTGTGCTGAACACAGGAGTTGGTTACACTGCATTTTGTAAGTGTTGTGTCTAGTCCTTGGGGATAAGAGGTTAAAATATGAAGGGGAGGAAAACTAGTTGGTAAATTAAAGTTTGAATTGCGAAGTAATGTTAGATTTCTTTAAAAAAAAATAGTCACTGTCATCAAATGAGTTATAGGAACACTGGAAGCATTGGTTCTTCCTTAGTCTTCTTTATGCTATTGTATTATAGAGCACACCAGAGTATAAGGACTGAAAAATCTTTATTTTTAGGCAGGTATTCACTCAGTTTGGACTATTGTGGCTTTCTCAAGGAACAAAATCAGAATGTGGGAATGTTGCTGTCATGACTAACTTCTGGCTTGATTTGGATGTAGCTGCTTAGATGTGAGATGGAGGTGCAGGTGGAGCATCCATCGGTAGACGTGGTACTGCTATATTTAAAATACTACTGAAATCAGTTGGCCCTGCCAGGCTCTGTGCAGGGGGTACCCTGGGATGGCCCTTCTGGCCTACAGACTGGCTGGTTGGGTTTCCTGTACGAGGTGGTTTACCTGCTGTTAGCTTTGGAGTTATTCTGTCCTTTTCAAAGCTCAAGGAACTGTGTTTAAAGCAGGCAATAAACCCACCACAGTCACTCTTTAAAATCCTACTGTGAATTTTTTGTCTAACATCATTTTATATTGGGAAGATCCACTGCCATGTAGTACATGTATCTTCCCCTCTTCTCTAGGGAAAAAATACATGGTGTGTCTTAGCTTAATGGTGTTGATATGGGTGCTGCTTTATCTTAGTTCTAGTTAACGTTCTGAGTCTGCTTTGATTAGCTGTCAATAAGGTAACTAAATTATTGGCCTGTAGTTCGTGGTGGTTTTCTGAGAGGCCTTGCAGTGGCTTTGCAAGCTCTGCAGTTTTCTCCACATCAGCAGGAAGTGTAAAATCCTAGTTAAACTGGTTTTTTTTTTTGCAGCAGCATTAAACTCCTGGTCATAGCTTAGGTGAGAAAGATCAGTAGGATGTTTGCAGTGAGACAAGACCACTTGTAAATTCTTCTTTTGCTTTATAACTTTACTATGGGCCTTGGGGTAAATTCAGGTACTTGCATTATGCATTAAGTGCTTAAAATGCCTGAGAGGGGAATGTGCTCAGAGTCTCTCTTGGAGCACCCTGCTGTGCAGAAAAGGCTACCTGAGAACACGTGGCAGCTCTTGACCAGGCTGCCCACTGAGCATCAAACTTGCTGTGGGACGTGGTTACTGACCACAGTGAAGTGTCCGTGCCCCTGAGAGTAGGGGGATATTTATTTAGGGAACCCCTCCATCTATGTGTGAAGGTATCTTTTCTGAAAGGAAAAAAATTAGCTGCCGGGATCTTTCTGAATCATTTCTAAACTATTCAAAAGTTCTGAAGTGAATAGAAACTTCTACATTCCTATAGAAATCTAGGACTAGATTGAAAAAAAAAAAAAACCCACTTGAAACCTGCAAATGAAAATACTGAAATTAGTGGAGATGGCACTGTTCGTCGATCCTTTCAGGCAAGTGAAAGCGGTGTTTGGGTTTGAGGGTTTTTAGCAGTAGGGTCCAGTTACTCCACAATTTCATTCTGCTTTCAAAATAGCATTTTGAAGAAGCTTGTAGTTTCATGGAAGAGAAATGACTCAAATGTAGAGCCAGTCTGAGGCTTTTCTTCCCTTAAATTAGCGAGTGTGATTTGGGCCATGATAAACCACTTCATAATTTCCGAAGACTATCAGAGGTGATGGAGATGGTCTGGTGGAGGAGGTGGTGACACAGGTTGGTGAATGCTTATAATGGAAACTTACTACTGAATACAGAAAGCTTTAAAATAATATTGAGTTCTCCTCCTTGTGCCACCTCTCTGAAGGACCTCTGATTAAAGACGTTCACTGTTGAGACGTATACCCACAGTGCTGCTAAATGGGCAGGCGTGGCAGCAACAGGGAGGTGCCTTCTCTGAGATCCTCCTGCTGTGGGTCTGCCTTGGTTGCCCCGTCAGAAGGACATTTCTCTGAGTTCAGGACACGCTGTGCTTGCAAAGTGCTGTTGTGTGGCTCATCCAGGCAAGGTAAACCCTCCCCAGCTGTGAGCTTCTTGTCCCTGTCGTTCATAAACTTTGGAAAGTGAAGAGCTGTTTCTGTTAACTGTAGGGACAGGATTTTCTCAAGGTAACATAGTCCTTGCCCTCTTCCTCCCACCTCTGGCCTTGGTTTTGGAAATATGCTTGGGACTGGATCACACTGGGTACTTCCAGAGTGCTCTGCAGTGGCTTAATTCACTTCCAAATATACCTGTGCTCAGCTCCTGGAAGTCAGCCACCCCCTTGCTTTGTAAATAACTCTGGGTGGTTGATTCCAAAGTAAAGAGTCAGCTGAGGTAGGCTCTGCATGACAAATCCATCTCTTGGTTCTTCAAACTTGTCCTGGATATCCTGGGAATCTAAAGCTTAGGTTAAACAAGAACATCTCCTGAGTCTGGGGTGGGAATTGCAGGGGGAAAACAACACAAAAAAATGAACTGCCCTTCTAGCTCATAAAAAAAATTAAGATTCACTGTGAAAGCATTTTTCTTTCTGGTTTCAGACAGTAGTTGGTTCTATCAGCTTCTCCCTTCAGCATGCAGAGGCTGCAGGCCATGTCCCGTGCTGTCTGTGCCCCAGCGCAGGCACGGCGCATCTTATCAGCACCCGGTGGTGCCTGGGACATTCTGGGTGGTTTTTCTGGGATTAGCCACAGTCTTCACTGCTGGGTTTCTGCTGCTCCTTGGCCCTTTTATCTTGGGTTTCTCAGTGTCCTGCTGCAGGTGATGGGAAGTTCTGTGAAGCTGCCTGAACCTTTTACAATGGGTGCAGGCTAAGTATGAACTCTTGAGCTGCTCTCTTCATTTCCTGGCTACGTTGAGCATAGAGTTTCTCAGAGTGCTGGTGGGTGTTACCAGCTGCTGGTCCTGGTCACAAACTGCTGCTCTGACCACAAGTGCTGGTGGGTGTTACGAGGGTGGTCCTGGTCACAAACTGCTGCTCTGACCAAGCACTCTTCTCCCCTTGCCGGGGCTGTTCCCACTCAGATTTTTTTGTTGTTGTTGTTGTTTTGGTTTTTTGTTTCCCCTTCCTTGTATGAGATCACTCCCAGCTGTAATGCCTGTGCTGTGTGTAATTAAAAACTGCTCATGCCAGATTGGAGCAAGTAGTGCTGCTCTGGGCTAGAATTACTTTTGGCACAGGTGGCTCTGAAAGCCAGAGACACCACTTGCAAGTTAAGGACACGGCTGCAGATGGCTTCAGCTTCTGTGGCTTGAAGACTTACCTTGCAACAACTGGGGTCTTCTCCCCAGTCCTGAAGGTGCCATGGAGCTGATATCCACGTGAAGGGAAACCTCCCATGAGACTGTTCCACAAATAATTGAAGCTGCTGCTTTTGCCCAGGCTGGTGCCAGAGCCTTTGGAGAACACAGGAACCGCGAGAACTTCCTGACGTGCCTCGTACAGATTAACAGCTTGATTGTTTTCCTTATGTTCTGCAGCATAAAGACATTCTCCACGAATCTTCTGTATTACCAGATTAAGATGTTCTCTTGGACAGATGCATACGAGTGAGACTTAATTTTTGTCCATTTAACCCAAAGTGTGTATGTACGAGCACATCCTTGGCCCGAGTATTGAGCAGGCTGTTGTTTTTGCATTCTTTTAAGATTTTCATTGCTTTTTGCTGCTTTAATGACTCTGTGGAGACTAAGCTTAAACATTCAGTCAAGATACCACTGGCTTAGGTTACCTCTTTATATATGGTATATACAATGCTTAGGCTTCCTCTCCATTTAATTAAGGGTTGTGTAGGAGAGATTCTGCCTAAGAAAGGTTTTGATTCACCTTGTACCTTTGCTGTAGGTTGCTCTAAGAGGGCAGTCATTGGAAACTGGGCTTTGATTCAGGTGCTTCATTGGAAACCAGAGAGCTGAACTGGCGAGTCTGGCGGGTGTGAGATGTTGACTGCAGCCATCTGGGGTTTTATTGTCAATGAGTTTTTTGCAGGGCAAGACATGGGTGTGGTACCACAGCAATCCCAAAGCGGGGACCAAGTGAATGTGGAGCCTTGGGTACTTTGCTCTGTCTCTGCTTCATTTTTTGGCTTGTTTCCCTGCAGCCTTTCAGAAGGCTTTGTTTTTAAAATAGACTTTTCTGTGCTGCTTTGTCTGGAATTAAGTAGTTAATTACTTGAGCTTTTCCAAACTGAAGTAAATCTTTCTCTTTTTCAGTGTTCCATTGGCAAGCTACAATAATGGGACCAGTAAGTATGAGAGAATTGATGTTCATGGCTTTTTATGACCAGTCTTCTTGTAATAACTCCTCAAACTGCAATGATGCTTTTTCATTAACAGAATGACAGTCCCTATCAAGGTGGAGTATTTTTCTTGACAATTCACTTCCCAACAGATTATCCCTTCAAACCACCTAAGGTGAGTGGCTTGTGCTGTAAATCCGTTCATTACCCTGTGGTGTGATGTACATTTGTGAACCTACACTGAAATTTTCCTTCTTCTGCAGGTTGCATTTACAACAAGAATCTATCATCCAAATATTAACAGTAATGGCAGCATTTGTCTTGATATTCTACGATCACAGTGGTCCCCAGCACTAACTATTTCAAAAGGTACCTCCAATGCTCATTTAATTTTACTCTGCTGAAATGAATTACTGATTTGGATTTCAAGTGTTAAAAAAAAAACCAACAAACAAACACGCCTGCTTCTTTCCTGCTGTCAACCATTTCTGTGGTCACTGCTTCAATCTTGTGACTCCATGTCTGGCTTTTGGCCAGTTTGGCCAGTTCCTGAGTGCAGGATGCTCTGGATGTCCGATGTCCCTGTGGCCATGGGGGCACCGCTCAGCTTTGCCTGTCCATCAGATAAGTCTTGCTATACTAAGTGCCTCATCTTCCCACCTCACCTCAGCATCTAAACACTTACACTAAACCAAAAAAAACATCCCCATAAAACAAACCCTCCAAATTAAAGCTAGTACATAATGGAAGATTTCAGCATTCAAAATGCAGACCAAGTGAAATGTGTAGGGGAACAGCTGTGGCCTTTAAAAACACTAAACCTGCTTTAATTTTTTTGTCATATTAATAAATAAATGTCCTTTTCAAGGGAAGAACAGAACTCCACATGGGTCATTTTTTAACCAAAACTTTCAATGACATGGACTACTAAAACATGTAAAAACTTAATTATTTTTTTAGCTGAAATCCTCTTGGTCCCTGTGAGCTGTGTTAGCCTGTGGGGCACTGGAATATATTCTTAGCCTGGTAGAGCAGCACTCGTGTTGTTTAATGCAAACAGGAGGTTTTTAAACACTTTGAAAGAAAAACCAGGATTGAATTTTTTTTTTTCTGCCTATTGAGAGTGTAGCTCCACAGTTTGTAGATCTACTCATGGCAGTTGAGAATATTTTTGGTTTCTTCTGTGTGTGGACCACATCCTGACCACTCCATTTTTGTACCTTCACACTGTCTTTGTAATTAAATGCTGCAGGTATCATGTATTTAATTACAACATCCTTCAGACTGTCCCAGCTCTACCAGCCTGTTCTGTTGCCTGTAATTCTTCCCTTGAACTACAGTCTTTGGTTCACAGAGATGACTCCTGGTGCCCCTCCCTTGCAAATCGTGGCTGCCTCCCTTTTACTGACCTCACATGAGTTCCTGCTTTCTCTGCATAAAGGCTTCTGTGTTTGGCAGAGCAATATTTTGACTTGTCTTTTGACTGAAGCGAATCAGCTTGTGCACGAAGCTGAAAGTCTTCACTGTGACTTGAAAGAACTGAAGAAATGGTGTCAGTAAAGGCAGGATCATTGTCAGGCTGAGGCAGCTTTCCTTACAAAAGCTTTCAGTCAAGTACTAGGTGCTGTTAAAATTGCTAAGTTAGTGCTAAGTTCTGACATCTGTTACATTTTGATTAAAGTGCTGTGTAGTTGGTTAGGGTACTATAGTTGGAGGATATGTAATATGATGCAGTGTCTAACTTCTGTTTGTTTTAGAGAGTCTGAAATGACCTTATGGGCAGCGGGGTGATGGATAGCACGTTTGAAAATACTGGAGGAGAGTCTGCAATTAGGACAGTTGGAAAAAGATGGGGCAGGAATTTAAGAGATTGGTTTAAAGGCCATCAGCAAACTGCCTGTTAGTGAATGTCAGCTTTAGTGACTCACAAAATACATCTCAACACTAGTTTTGGAACCTGTTAAGAGCTGTATGTCCTTAACATCTCCATCTCCTCCTATTCTCTGCCTTGAACTCTTGTATTTTTTTTCTTTCCCCCTTCAGACTGCCAACCCTGGTGGCTTGGCTAGAGTAAGCCATGGGATTCTTAGCCCCTCCTGACAACCCATCTCCCACTTGCAGCTCCCTGGGATTAGGTGTCTCCTCATTGCTGATTGCAGAAGTGTTCATGTGAAACTCTCCTTCATGCAGGGCAAAACACGCACAGGGGTGATCGGTGAGAACACAGTCTTGTCCAAGTTCCCTTGGTGTTAATTTCATGAAGGAATTAAAAGCAGCAAAAAAAAAATTTTATGGGTGTTTTCATAGAAACTCAGAATACTTCCCTCAACAGGGATTTCTCGTCAGAAACATTCCAGTAAGAGGCAAGAACTTATACTTAAAAAAAAGCATTCCCATTTTGAACAAGTTTAAATAAATTCCACAAAGGCAACTTCAATCATTTAGGGTGAAAAGCTTGTTTTCAGTCAGTTCAGAACTGTCTTTGCAGACTTTAGGGCTATTTCAGCTCTCTAGTAACTCTTTGATAGCCTTCTCAAAGAAGAAATGTGTCTCTAGTAGGAAAAGCTGTTGGGTTAGGTAATTAAAAGTGAATAACAGGACTTAAGCTATTCAGCATGAAGGTTACAGCTCTTCCAAAGCAACAATTTAGTGTTTGTAATAGAGAATTCTTAGAGTATTTCCTAAATTTTGCCACTCTTTAAAAGGGGATGCTATTGGGAGCAAGCTGTTTGAATTTAAAATCTGTAAGCAGATACCTAGAAGACAACTTTAAAAAAAGTGTACTTTCTTTACTGATAGAGAAATTGAGAAAGATTAGAAAGAGTTCTTCTAGGAAACAGCTTATCATACCCAGCTTCCTTCTCCTGAGGCATCTGCTGGGCAGCATTGTCACTGTGTCAGATGTGATGTTACAATTAATGTGTGGTACATGAACGTGTTTTTCACCTTAATCTGCAAAGGAAAAGGTGAAGGGGTGTGCAGTGACTTCTTTTTAATCTACAGTGCCACTTTTTGTGGTGGAAAGAGTGTGAAAAATCGTGTTAGTGTCACTTAATCAGGCCAGTGAAGTGGTAAAGGTAGAGGTCTTGGCTCCCTGTGCTCTGGAAGGCCATCAGGAGACCTGGTTTGGGAGCCTGTCCCTGCCCTCTTTGCTGGGTAAGACAGCGAGGGCCTGAGTGTTGTTGGAGCAGTTTTATTTCAGCCAGCTAAATAAATAGGGCCACTTCTCTCTATAACCAATTTGATAATGCGATCTATGACAGTAGAGGTGACCAGCATCTTGGGGTTGTGGTTTGTCTCTCTCAAAGTTTGCCCCTCCTGGACTTGGTGGAAGGGGTTCTGAGGAATTGGGAGAGCACCACTGAGTGTCTCAGTACAATCGCTGGCTTGCAGTAGTAGTTCCACAGTAAGTGTTCCTTAATACATATCGGAGAATAAATAATCTCAAAATACAGTCTTAAACACCTTGGAGGTTAATTTAAACTCCAAAGCTTAAGCAGAATGCACAGGCTTAAATTAAGAATGTTATTGCAAAGTCTGCATAAATAAGAATCCCTGTTGTCTTAAATAGGATAATATAGTATTTTAACCTGATGATAACTGTTCGGCCATTTTTGGGGGAAATCCCACTTGAATTTGGTGAGTGGATGAGCAAGAGCTAAGCTTCAGTAAAGGTCAGGCTTGCCTTGTGCCTTCCCACTTCTCCCCACAGTGTTTTATAACTATTAAACATGGAGCTTTTATTAAGCATGTTGGTGAATGGCAGCACTCTGGAGTTCAGCTCAAGCTCTTCCATGCGCATTGTGAACTTCCCGTGGTGCTGCTCTTCCAGGGGCTCAAGGATGGCTTTATTAAGCCTTCACTGGGTGGGAACTCCCAGGAACCCAGCAACCCGAATGAACTTGATCCTCACAGTCTTCAAAATGAGGAAGCTGGCTTCTCATCTTCCTCTTGGCTTTTAATTTGCCTGTTATAGTGCTTAACCAAATGATGTGGGAGGGATGTGACTTTGTCACGTCACTTGGATCAGTCTCTGTTTGTGCTGAGCTAGGGTTGCATGGAGAGCTTTAATTCTTGCTTTCAGCTCTTTTTCTACTTTAATGTAGCCACGTGTGTATCTCCCCAGATACTGTCCATGCTGCAAAGGGAGCACTAGGAGGGGAGTTGTCAGCAGGTCGAAGAAGGTGATCCTTCTCTGCTCACCACTGATGGGGCAGTACCTGTTGGAGCTGTGTCCAGTGCTGGGCTCCCCAGAACAAATATCCTGATTTGAGTCTCATCTCAGTGGCCAGTCAGGTCCAAACTGTGACAACGAGAGACAGGGATGTACTGGGGAGAGTCCAGTTGAAGGTTCATGAACGTGAAGGGACTGGAGTATCTCTTACGAGGACAGGCTGAGAGAGCTGGGACTGTTTAGCCCGGAGAAGAGGAGGATCAGGGGGTCTTATCAGCGTATATAAAACCTGCAGGGAGGACAGAGCCAGGCTCTTTGTGGTGCCCAGTGACAGGACAGGAGGCTGGGGGGGCAAACAGGAGGGCCCCTGTGAACATCAGAAAATGCATTTTTTTCACTGTGAGGGTGACTGAGCCCTGACACGGGTTGCCCAGGGAGGTTGTGGAGTCTCCTTTCTTGGATATGGAGACAATGGGTCCAGGTGGCACTGCCTGAGCGTGGGGCTTGGACAAGATGACCTCCAGATGTCCCTTTCAACCTCAACCAGACTGTGATACATGGGGCAAAACTTCTCTTGTCACCAGAAGTTGTTGAACTGACTTAGCAGGAATTCGAGTTGGTTTGAAATAAGAAGTTTAACCTGCTCAGATTTAAAGGTACACTTCTGTGAGCCCGGGTAAGATTGCTGGAATTGTTTGGAATGGGACTATGGTTAAGAAATAGGATTTAACTGTAGCAGAGTCTGGAGTTGCTCTGATTTTCTTGGCTGCATCTTGCCCATTCGCAGTCAGAAGCCAGTTGTTTGGAAGCTTGCACTTCAGCTTGCTGGGTGGAAGTGTTTTCAGTTATTTTAATATCAAAAGCTTAATGTTTGCCAGCACTGATGAAACACTGACAACTGTATGTCTTGAAAGTTTGAAAGGTCCGGGGCCTGATACTCCAATGTATTGATTGTGTAGGCACATACTCCTGCCAGGAGTCAGCTTTCCTCCTATTTTTGAGGAATAAGAGATCTAAGTAGTAATGGACCTCAGTCTGGAGGCTGTTGGCTGTCAGGCTGATGATTAGCAAATGATTAGCCCTGGCTGGTGTGAGAAGTAGGAGAGCTGGATAAACCTCTGAAATGGAATTAAGAGTACCTCAGCAGGGGTATGTGTCCAAAATTCAAATTCCCTCCAGCAGAGATGTTTTGTAA